CGACTCGGAACACGACGTCCCGTCCGCCGGCGGCGGCGCCACCAGCCGACGCCGCGCACCCACCTCGTCGTCATTCTCGGGCAGCACGATCGTCTTGCCGATGATGACGTCATCGCCGGAGACGCGCACGCCCGGCGCCACGATGCCGTCGTCGTCTAGCTTCTCGTAGATGGCGTTGCGCATGCCCTGGCACGTGTCGCGCGACGGCCGCTCGAACGTCTCCTCCTGGTCTCCGATCTTCTTCGTCTCGGCGTCCTGTCCGCGACCGGTGGTGACGTCACAAGACGGGACGGTGACGTCACACAAGGGAGCTGGGACACAGCGGCCGTCGTGATCATGCGTTGGGAGTTAACGCTCGTCGCGTTGGCCGGTGGTAAACTCAGCAATGCGAGGGGCTCACGCAGGCGGCACAAAACGGGTGAAGTATGGCGAAAAGGCGCGTATCTGGTGGGCACAGTCACCACCCGCGAAATCCAGCTATGCACACCGAATCAACTACGCTGCTCCTGGACAAATACAGACCGCTCCGTGGTTTAGTTTACTCGTGCGCTCATCACCCGGCAGCAAACCACCGGTCGACTGAGCTCCGGTCACCTCCCGACCGCGTCTGTCGAGGCCCCGGTTCCGGTTCCGCGCGGCGGTCCGCACCGCGCCGGGCCCACCTTGTAGCTGCGGTAGAAGCAGGAGCGGAAGAAGCCGCGCTCCACGGCCGAGGCGTTCATGACCACCGAGTCCTCCTGGTTGTAGCCGGTGTAGCAGGCGATCGCCACGATCGAGTTGATGCCGGCTGGCAGCTCGCGGAAGCGCAGGTACTCCATGCTGCGCGTGGTCACCAGCGGCTTTTGCGGGTAGAACAGCACGTGCGCCAGCGTGTCCATGCGCACGTGGTAGTTGGTGATGTACACGCCCATGGCCTGCTTACCCATGGCGCTCTGGAACGGGGGACGGGCACGCGTGAGCGGCGGCCCGGGCGAGGCCAAGCACGGCGGGAGTGCGGCCCAACAATGCGGAAGCGTCGGCAGCGGCCGTACAACAGAGAAATACTGTGCATCACAAACTGCGGGGCGATCTTCAGGAATCACTGAGGACGGAAACAGTGGTCACGTGACCTTAATATCATAATCCTTGCCAGTGTCTGTCGGTCAACAGCACTCTCGCCTATTTACCAATAATACGGGACCCAGTCGCCTATCGGTCAACATAACACTCGACTATTTACCAAAAATACGGGTATGCGATGCCACCATGTCATACAACGGAGGATATAGAGTCTTCCCGTCGCCGGGAAGTTATCAGACTGGCCCGAATCCCATGGCGTATAATCGTAAACACTCAAAAAGCGTGACAAAATGTACCGCACACTACTATCTCCACCACCTTATAAGAAGCCCCATACTTTTTCATTCAAGATGAATAATCTTCCATTGAGATCATACCTGTCAGAGATAACGTCAACTGCATTTTGCATACCAGTGCCACTTACATTCGCTGCTGGCAGAGCATGCATTTTGCGTTCTGTTTTACAGGATGTACACAGTTCTCAGGGTAAGATATTGCCTGCGCAATAAGTTATGGACGTGCGAAAATGAAAACCACGCCGTAAGCATTTGTCATGAAATATAGCTTGCGAAACGAGAGTATGTCCTCCCATAAACAGTGAAATCGCATTATGCCAGTGACGACTAGACCAAACCCGATAGGGAAAAGGTAATACTTAACCAACTGCAGCCTAATGGACACATCAGTCAGGCCCTGAATTTAAGTTTGCCGTGTGGTTGTGGAGCATTGCTTTCCAGCTTTCGAGCACTAAATTAACTGACAGTGGTAAGTTGATGATGAGCTTTGACTTAAAACTTAATCCTGCTTCCCTGCCAAGACACCAAGCAATATCTGCGGGTGGCGTATTCAATGGGAGCGATTTGAGCATAGTTTTTAGCATGCGATATTACAATATTCGCGGACCAGGCTGGGCATACACATAGTATAATGGTATGATGGAATGTAAACATTTTCACCGTCCCTAGTACAAAGTTGCTAATAATTTTGCGGTCAGATCAGCCGCAGCAACCGACATTTCCCCAAATTACGTAACATAACACACCAGGAACTCAGCAACGTAGTTTGGGCAGGTGCCTTTCCGACTGTTTTGCTGCGGCACTGGGGATACTGGAGATACAGCGGGAGGAGTTAATGCCTACTGGGCATGACCCTCATATGCAATGTCATGCCACGGCTCACATCAACCGCTGGGAAACTGCAGGAAGCACGTGCAATAAGCCCCCAGTTATTCCAATACCGTCTTCCCGCCATCACGGCACGCGTACTGCATACATCTCGTGACAACAATGAACTATATATTGTAGGTCTCTCATAGATGTAATAATTTGTGACACAAGGATAAAACATGCTCGATTTGCTCTACCAAACGTTCCTCACAACGATGTACGAAATACGACTGTACAACTAACGATGCCGCATTTCACGTGGAATAGCTACTGTGGCCCCGGTTCGGTGAAGGTGAGCAACTGGCAAAATCCCATCCAAAGAGGCCTTAGGTTTGAAGCAAAAATTGGAACGATTGCAAGCCACGAAACCTTCAAAATGCGTGGGAAACTGATAGCTTTTAATCAGGCGCGATGCATCACAGAATACCAAGTGAAAACAGTCGACGAGGATGGGATTCGAACCCACGCGGGCAGAGCCCATTGGATTAGCAGTCCAACGCCTTAACCACTCGGCCACCTCGTCCGTTGGCAGTCGGGCTCCAACATCGAGGCAAATCGTACGATACAGCAACAGCAGCCTAACACCGATGTAATGAGCGTGCAACATGGCACCTGCATGGCTTTTAAGATTTTTCTTGACGATCACTTCCTGTCTCCTACCGCCAGACCAAGCATCCAAAAACCAATTGGAAATCCAGCCGGAGAGGCAGAGCAAGAACCAGAATCCAGCGTAACACTACATCGAGACATGGCAAGAACGAGGATGGACATGTGCCTGGGTCTCAAAGTGGATACAGGATGCCACAGTCTTCTATCCTTGTGACATTCTGATATATTTTGTGGGGTCCTAGGCATATGTCTGGAAGACCTGGCTCAGAATATGCGTGGGGATCTAGCAAATATCAAGACAGCCTGGAATTATGCCGACGGGTTCAACAAGAACCAAGACCCGGCCTCAACATGGCCAAAGAACCAAGATCTCTTACGTTAAGAGAACGAATGGGAACCAGCATCTCGGATGAGTATCTCACATTGTTGTCAAGATCCAGCGCGTACCCACATGATGCCCTTATATACACACCGGCACAAGTAAATATGACGGCACATTGGCCGGATATTTTTTATTTCAGACGCCATATCTTCAGGGGCATCCCATGATCTCGAGCTGCTATCCCGAGCTGCTGCTAGGGAACAGCCAATCAGAAGCAAACAAAGAGTTCTAGTGTTTTGTGAGCTTACGAATGGAAACCGCAACCAGGCTCTGGCCTTTGAGAAAGTCAGTGACTTGGAACCGGTGAGTGGTGCCTGTGAAAGGACCAATGGAACCAGGGTGTGTTTTGTGTAGAAAACTTACGGGGAACTACGAATCATGGCATATTACCAGTGAAGGAGCGAATGGGAACCACCTGCCCATGTCTTTTTTAATGAACCAATGATGGCCAGGAACTTGAGCCCGGTGTTTGCAAAACAGCCGGTGGGATCCGGTAACCCCGGGCTGAGGTAATCAGGGAGCCAGCCGGAGCCGGGATCGGAGCCTCGTCTTCATGACAGGGGTACTGAGAGTAGGCCGGAACAGGACTCATGGGGGGGGGGGGAGGGAGGCGGACAAACAAGTCACGACCCCGCAAGATGACCCAAGTTGGGCAAACATCTAACAATTTAGAATTCGAGTCAGCTTTTGAAAATCGTCAGCCCACCCCCACCCCTATCCCGAAGGCGGCATTCTGAACCCGGCCTTGGGGCCAAGAACTACCGCTGGCAGCCCGGCACATGTGTGCACGTGGACGCATCGCCAACTGAGCAGGATGGCTTGCAGATGAGCCAGCCAGGATCGAAGACCGGGCAGACGGGTCACGTTCTGGTGACCTCGGCGCCCACGACCAGCAAACGAAACAGACATTCTGCACACGAAGGCGGTCAGCAGCATATTCGGAAGTGGCGACCCCCACAGAGATCTCACTACGCTGAGTACGCCCTTCCTTACAAAACACACACATCCACAATATTTCATCCGACAAGGATAATAGCCCGGCGCTCAAAAAGAGACGCGTCGGGAAAAGGAACCCTGTCCCATCCCTCCCCCCCCCCTCCCCCCGCCTATCCCGTCTTCCGTGACGGAGCACTGTCAGTCCCCCACATTAATACAGTGGCTAGGTTAACAAACCGCGCCACACCAGAGTGCGAAAAACGGGGTGCTTATGACGACCGGGTTGAATGTAAAAGCGTACAAAAATTGCATTATACGGGACAATCAACTGTATATACTGTGCACCTAAATTGTAAGCAGTATTTTTTTCTCCGCTCCTTGGCCTACAACACGATTTAAATATCGACAAGCCTAATATCTACCAAACATCATCCAACCATAACTTGACGTGCCTAACATCTACAACACATTACTCAACCATAACGCAGACATTTCAGCCCGATGGGGAGAATCCACGAGACCCTCTCACTTGTCATCAAATTTCGACACGAATCCTTCAGTGCAAAAATCCGATACACCCTAAAGCATATTGCCTGACTTGCCGAGAAAATGACTATTCCTTATGCGGAAGACCAATGCGGGACCAGGGTGCAGCCAGGATTTGCGACGGGGGAGGCTTCCAGGATTTGTTACGGAAGTGAATCTTTTCAGGATCGAGTCCCAGCCCATTCGCAGAGTCTACGCACTGTGCGCAAACTGCAGGGCTAGAAATGCTACTAGGTACAGCGCCTGACGCATCGATGGGCAGCCGATGTTAGTTCGTCCTGGCGCCCACATCATCTCAGCTGCGTGCTGAACATGTGTGTAAGGTAATATGAATATTATGGCCACTAACAGGAATACGGCTTCCTATTCAGCTGGAAAGGCCCCCCGCCTCCCCACGCCCCAACATGAACAAGGGTTAAATTCGGGGAGAAACACACTTTTGGATACAGTTTGGGGTAGGTGTACCCATCTCCACCACTCAACCCACTACCTTAACTTATTCTGCGCAACTACGTCCCTGTCCTCTGGGCTGTGCGCTGGCCATGTCATCTGGCAATTGAACGCAACATGCCACTGCCCCTGAAAGTCACTGAAGTGCAAGGCCGAAATATCTTCCCTAATTGCGGACTTGTGCTGTTGTGGTGAAGAAAAAGGCGCTTGTTTCTTACGGGGGCGGCGGGGGGGGGGGGAGAGATACAGCCCCATGTGTCCCTCCCCAGGCCGCGCCTATGGTCCGGACGACCAGCTCTAACCCTAATATATCAAACCTCACCAAGTCACGCTCGGTCCCCTGTGCAGCCGGATGTCTTGTTACCGAGAGGAACGGACAATTCCTACAGCTGGATGCCTATTTGCGAATGCGATATCTGCATTGCGCTGTAGTTCAGCCGCCGTAACAACTTGACCTACAAAAACATCTATGCTCCCAAATGGCCCAAAAACGCCAAAACAGACGACGCCGTGCGCTCGTGGCAGGCGGCGAGGGAGCTGCGCCCCGATACTATTGCGCGAGGGGTCCAGTTCATCTCCATAATCCCGCAAAATTTCAAGCATCTTCAGCACCGGTCGTCTTCACAGAAAAAGTAAAATAATAGTAATACCAAAGCCACGCCAGCACGCCTGACCCAGCCGTCGGCAACATTTGCTCGGCCATCGGCGACAGACCAACCCGGCAACGACCGTACCACGCTGAATACGCCGTTCCCGTCCGATCGCTGAATTAAAACAGCACTGGGCCTGGTTGGGACGATAAACGGATAAACGACAGACTGGGAACAACGGGGGAAGTTGTCGGTTTTGTACGATAGTTTTGGTAGCAACCAGCTGGACCCGTCGGCTTTTGGCCGGCATCCCCCGTCCGCCGACAGGTTGCCCCGTACAAAGGCTGAATGGCGAAGCACCGCGCGTCAAATCGGTTGTTTCTCATGACAAATGAAAATGCCTGCCATCATGTCAGTGCGTGAGTAAGCTATCAAACTACAAGAGCATCAAATACGGATGAACTGCTAATGCGGAGGATTGATCCAGGCATCAAGAACATGATCTTGTGAATGTGAGTGCCACCCGATCTCCTTTCTGTCGCCTTCCTAACCGGTGGCCAAAAGTTTAACAAGACAACCGGTTCCTGAGCTGAGCCAAAACAACTCATGGGCCGCCATAACCACAGCCTATGACCACCATAACCACAACCTGCCAGAGCCGGTCGCTCATTCCGCGCCTGGCAGCGCAGGGCGAGCCAGCCTGGCAGGTCATACACCCACCTGGTACGTGTTCCTCGGGCTCTGGTTGTGATCGGGGAAGGGGATGATGGAGGCGCAGACGCCCAGGATCATGGCGGGGTGGATCTCGCAGTGGGTGTAGGTGGTGCAGTAGACGTTGTCCTTCTCGCCGCTCAGGTCGTCCGGCGTCATGGCGATCATGGTGGTCTCCTCCTCCAGGCAGTCGATGTACTCCACCACGCCGGAGGCCACCAGGTCGTGCCAGCTGGTCGGACGGCCGGCCGCGTCAGACTCACGCGAGAATGGACGGCAGGCTTCCGGTGCACACCATATTTCAAGCGAAGGATGTCGCAGCGTTCAGTGGGCCTGTCGCACGGTAGGGACGAGGCCCCAGCGGGCGGAACGAGGCCTCAGCGGGCAGGGACGAGGCCCAGCAGAGATGAGGCCCCAGCGGACAGGGACGAGGCTTCAGCGGGCAGGGAAGAGGCCCCAGCAGGCGGGGACAAGGCCCCAGCAGGCGGGGACGGGATCCCAAGGACGGGGACGAGGGCCTAGCGGGCAGGAATGAGGCGTCGGCAGGCGGGGACGGGCAGCAGCAGCAGCCGCCGCTGGTCCGCTGCGACGTAAACTAGCACGCGGCACACGAGGGTCTGAGGTAATCAGCGGTTGTGCTGTCTGCGTGACTCCCCGTCCACGTGAATGCTTCCCATGCGAGAGAGGCCCAAATCACTACACCGAATACACGCAACCAGAGTTCTCCAAACATTTAATCACGCTTCAACGGTCTACATCGGTAACAATTGATCCTTTCGGCGGATTGTTCGCAAAGTGCCTATAACCCCTCACCGCCGTCCCTGCGACCAGGTGAGAAGCAAGGGGGGGGGGGGGGAGAGCATGCCCGAGCTGGACGCCAAACCCCGGCGTACCTGTAGTTGTTATACTCCCGCTCCTTCAGCATGTCGATGTGCCGCTTCTTCAGCAGCAGCCTGGCCCTTCTCCACGATGAGCAACGGCCGGCAGATGCGGCCGGCGTCCGTGTAGATGCGGATCTCCCTGTCCCGGATGTCCCGCACCATGCACACCTGGGGACGGCGGGCGGTCACGGCCGGCGGAACATGCTGATCAGCTGCATCCCAATACCACCGGTACCGGCCATCAGCCATGCCCCCCAAAGTTCCGATCCTCCCCGAGGGTCGCCTGGTGAAGCACATCCACGATCCGTCCACACGGCTGGTGCCCGTCGCCAGCCGGTAAGGATCGCGGCTCGGGTACGGGCTCTGACACGGCGCGCCAGTCCCACCTCCGACACGATGATGTCCATCTGGCGGCGCAGCTTGCGCAGGGTGGTCATCAGCTGTTCCGGGTCCCGGTGGATCCCCACCCAGCAACCGTTCACGAAGATCTTGGTGGCGCTGCGGATGAGCAGAGGCCGGATTAAGCACCTCAGCTATGCTGATGGTGTGACACTCCTTCCAAGACCCCTTTGTGAACGATATTTCTGTAACCACTGTTCAGGCAAATAGGAGCGCATCTTCCACGTTTCTGATCATATGAATGTTTGGTAAGCCAACAACAATGGAGCAATATCGTGAGTTCGCTATGAACATCATCAAACAACATAGAAATATGTAGTGAATGTTTTGATTTTCAGTGACTCAGATAAACAATGACATCCACCTGAGACACGGCCGCACAATGCGGTCCTTCACAGCCGGAGTATGGAGGAAAAACAACACACGAACGCAACAAAGTCCGCATCAGACAACGCACTGGCACAAATCCAGCATCAGCGTGCTATTGCCGGCTCTAATGAGACGGCAGCATCGCCACAGTAAACGCGACAGCGGCACTGAGCGGCTACACCAGTGCCGTAGACGGCCGCCCGTCTGTCTGGACACTGACTCGATGATGGCGCTGGGCGCGATCTCCTCCAGGTTCTCCATGCTCCACTCCTCCAGGAACTCGAGGATGGGAGACGGCTGCGAGCCGACCGAGATGTAGGCCATCAGCGCCAGGTTCTTCACCAGACCTGGGAGCCGTCACACACGCGCCCGTCAGTCCGCCGCGGGCGCGGCCTGAGCGTCATCGGACGGGCGGCGGCGGCGGCCGGCCCGGTGCCGCCCCCACAACTGCAGCATCCGATCCACTGCAGGCAACACTCGTGCTGACACGGCGCTTCACGCGATAGGGAGCGAGCGGTGGGAGCCGCCAACTGATCAACAGCGGCGACGACAGCGGCGAGCACCGGCTGAACAGGACACCGGCAGGCGCATCAGCGGCTGCCCTGACCGACGGGACGCGGAACTGACCGACGGCGGCGCCCTCGGGCGTCTCGGCCGGGCAGATCATGCCCCAGAGCGTGTTGTGCAGCTGGCGCGGCTTAGCCAGCTTGCCGTCGCGGCCGATCGGCGAGTTCACCCGTCGTAGGTGGGACAGCGTCGAGGCGAACGTCAGCCGGTTCAGCACCTGCGCGGCGGCGGAAGCGTTGACACGGCACGTCACCACCCGGCGACATGGTACGCCCGCCACCGACTTCGCAACATCACTCGCCACTGTACTGTTTTCGGTGGTCGCAAAAGCGTATCCGCGACAGCGGGCTTCCGTTATTATTTCGAACGCTGCGGCCCCATACCAGGAGCGACAGTACGCCAGGGACGGGGATACCATCCCTGATCGCCACGGCGAGCGTTACAACGCCGTGCACTCCGCTTCGATGGCCACCGACAAAGCTGGCCGCCCCGCCTGCACGGTTCGTCGCTCACAACACCACTCTCAACGGAGCAATGACTCCTGATAGTAACCGAAACAATATAGCGCCTACTCCCCCGTGGTCAGGCGTGCGAGCAGCGCGCCGCCCGGATTGGCGCTCCGGTCGGCAGCCGGCGTGGTCCTCCGCTCGGCGCGCCGCCGCCACTCGCCTGGGAGACGCCGGCGCGCGCCTGGTGCGCCTTCTTCTGGTCACCCCAGTTGCCGGTGGCCAGTGAGTACTTGAGGCCATCCGTGATGGTGGAGGTCTTGACGGCCAGGTGCAGGCCAAAGTCTTTGCCGTTGTCGATGAATTTCTGGGCGTACATGCGGACCTCCTTCAGCAGGTTCTTGAACAGCCTGAAAGCGGTGCGCCATCATTGGAGGGCTCCGAAACATAGTAGCATGTGACTCCGGGCTGCTGAATTCACCATCAAACAATATCATCTGTAGCGCGCATAGTAGATAAGTACACATCGTCTTACTAATATATGATACAAAATTACTGGTCAAAAATTGCTTAACCATGGGTAATGTGCCGAAAAAGGATGTTTGGCCTACGCAAACACAGCACTTGACATCCAACGAGCTCTGCAGACTGTAGGTCATAGTCCAAACCACGCAGGAAACGTTTGCTGCAGGACAGCTTGACAAGTTTCGTGGCCGGCCGGTCTGGCGGACGCCGCGGCGCCCGAGCGGCTGCCGTGCCGTGCGTACCCCCTGAAGAGGAAGGCCAGCAGCGGTCCGGCCAGGTCCAGCCGCTTGTTGCCGTAGTGATCACGGTCGTCCAGCTCGCGCCGGCTCAGCGAGGCCATCAGCAGACGGTGCACCATGTACCTGCGGCCACCGACCGTACCCAGCTCACGGCCGGCACGGCGCGGACGGCACGAGGTCAACAGCTACACCCCAGCCCCAGGGCAGCCGGCCTGAATACTGCTCAACGCTATGGCACTAAACGATCATTAACTCTGTGTATGGTTTAAGGTTGTCCCGCTTAACGCATGCCGACGAAAAATCGGGCAATGTCGAAAAAAGCGTGCCTACCCGAGGAAGTAAGCCTTCTTGGTCTCGCAGAAGTCGGACACGCCGACGTGGGGCAGCATCTCCTTCTGCAGAATCTCGCGCGCGTACTTGATACGCTTCTCCTTCGTCACGCCTGGCTTGGCTCCGCGAGCGCCGATGAAATTGAGCGCCACGTTCTGCTCCTGGATGACGAACGCCTCGTCCAGCGAGGGCTTCACCTGGAAGCACCGAACGGACGCGACTAACGTCTCGCCAGACCACAGGGATTGCCTTGCCCCTGCCGAACATCACAGTCGGTACCGGGCCAGCCGCGGGGGCCCTATCGCACCATCACCGCCCATTCCACCCACCATCTCCATCATCTCGGGGTCGTCGAAGTCGTAGATGATGTGCTCGAGGATGTCCCGGTCGGCGACGAAGCCCAGCGCTCGGAAAACGATCATGATCGGGATCTCCTGCTTGATGTACGGCAAGATGGCGATGATCCGCTGACCGATCGCAGACTTCTTCACGTTCTGGAAAACAGGCAGTGGTCGTCTTGAAGACACAGGCCGAATCGTGCAATGGCAGCCATCGCGGAGAACGAGCAAGAGCAAAACGACGACGGTATTGCACGTGGGCGTCGACGGTATTGCACTTGACGCGTCGTAGATACAGGCATCTGCACACGCGCAAATTGCTAAGAACCTAACCTAACCTAACCTAACTAAGATGAATCAATTCCAAAATGAGCGTTTATTAAGTTATGGCGCCACCAAAAAACGAATGACACAATTTCAACTTTTGAACCAGCTTCGAACAAGCTAAATGATGCGCACAGCAACGTGTTTTGTGATTGAGATGGTGCTACCACGTGACCCATTTTAAGTTGTACTGATTTGCTTCCAATTATATATCGAAAACGACTATTACTTCTGGACTCATATGTGTGATGTCAGGATGATGATGATGATGATGATGATGATGATGATGATGATGATGATGATGATGATGATGATGTCATGTATGATATCTTAACTCAGGTGCCACCTCGACACCGACACGCGTGCTACAACGGCCGACGGTAGCACGGCCGGGGGCCAGGCCTTTGCGGAGCATCACAACGAGCCACCTGGACACCAACACACGTGCTGCCGCGGCCGCCCGTAAGACGGCCTGGCGCCAGGCCTCTGCGGAGCATCACATGGGCCACCTGGACACCGGCACACGTGCTGCAGCGGCCGTCGGTAAGACTGCCGCTGGCCTCTGCGGCCCGCCCACCTGTCCGCTCCTGGCCAGCATATTGACCCACAGCGTAGAGGTGGGCCGAGACGAGTACTCCACCGCCGAGCGAATCTCCGCCTTGAACGCGTACTTGCCGTCCTTCATGCTGAACACGTACACCGTGTTGGTCGCCATTTTCTCTTGGGCGATGAGAACCTGAAGCAAGACGACTTTGTACGTGTGTCTTCCAAGCGCATGGCAAAACAGTAACACACAATCGATATTTGTATCAAAGGATGCTGGGCTGCTCAAATTCAATGCACTGTTTTTCGGAATGTTTTTCCAACAACAAAACATGAACCGCATTACCAATGTAATGCCAACATGCATAAGCGTAGCCCCCAGAACCTGGCATTTGTTTCAAGAAGCGCACAGCAGCACAGAGATTACTCACATTTCAGAACCATATCAACAAGGGCAGTAAACCACGAATTGTAGTCAAGTCAAGTCAAGAGCACAGGGGCATACCTGGCGATCACGACTTTCCATCGCTCCACTTCACGACACCCCCCACCAGCCCCGCCCCGGACCTGGCGGCGCGCGCGGCTGCCAGGTCCGGCGCGCCGCCAGGCGGCCAGAGTCCACATCGTCGTTCGCCGGCCGGCCCGCGGCTCCCTCACCTTCTCCGAGCCGTTGATGATGAAGTAGCCGCCCGGGTCGAGCGGGCACTCGTTGAGCTGCGTCAAATCGCGGTCCGTCAGGCCCGACAGCAGGCAGTGTGTGGAGCGCAGCATGATGGGGATCTTGCCTGCCGAACACCGCACGGTCGTCTCAGACCTACCACCGAACCATCGCACCGCATCGGCCGGAGCGCGCCGGCACGCACGGGGCACACGACCTCCCAGACAAACACATAACACAGACACGCTCGTACGCACGCACGCGCGCACGCACGCACACACACACGCACGCACTTGCGAAAACACAGGCACGCAAATAGCCCATATGTTTCTTATTTGGGCTTGGGGGCGCGTGGACGGCAGCGATCATTCTGAGCGTCAACCTGTTCGCCCCCGCGCTCTCGACGACCTTTGAGCACGCGGCGACGCGCCCGGCCCTGCCGCCCGCGCCGTACCGATGAAGGTCTTCTGCTCCTGTGTGACAACAGGCTGCTCGCCGTCCTTGATGACCGTCTTCGTGATGTCCACGTAGAGCGGGGCCGAGTAGACCAGGTTGCGCAGGCGCGCCTCGTTCGGGAACATGGCGCTCGGCGCGCCATCCGTCTCCCAGTGGGTCGGCTTCGAGAGGTAGATCTGCTCGAACTTCAGCAGGTAGCGCGGCTGGGGAGCACAGCACGCTGTGGGTCACGCGCGGCCCAGACCGTCGCACCAGCCTTGCGGTCCCTGTACATTCCCGGTTTTTGGGGGCTCGAACATCCTATGGTTTGCGACATATCAGCAATGCCTCGTCATTGTCCCAAGGTAAAATCCTCAAGGCTCCGAAAAAGCAATGCGGGGTACTGATCTGAGGGGTACCATAGCATTCACCTGACACGTAATCACAGTCCTACTGACTGAGCTCTCGAACTCATTATCCCACCGACTGGGCATTGACTTTGACCCATTGACATTGACCCATCATCATACTGCATGGGCTCTAAAACGTATCATCACTGACAAGAATCTAAAGCTACCGCCTCAAAGATTGTCACACCGGACTCAACTGGAGTTTCGAACTCACAGAGTGACTAGTGACGTTAACTCACCACCTCCTTGACCAGCCTCCTGACCTCACCTACTCACTAACTGGCACCACCAACTCCTCATCAGCCGGGGACGCGAGCTCACTGTCCCCTAACTGGAGTCACGAAAACGTCGCTTCGCTGACTGACATCACGAGCGCACCATCACGCTGACTGGCTCCACGACCCCACCATGTACCGTCACGAGCTCATCGTCGCCGTAAACGGAGTCACGACCTCGCCGTCTCACGAACAACCCGGCAACCTCACGGGCGACGCAGCGCTGAACGCCAGGCAGCAGGAGTGCAATGTCTCACACTGGCCAGCCGACCGGCAGCTGGCTCCGCTAGCCGTGCGTGCTCACTGACCGGCGTCTCGATCTCGCCCGAGGTGTGCTGCGCCTCCGCCTGCAGGTCGATGGCCGGCGAGTCCTCCACGATCCGCTGCACCGACATCTGGATGAACTCGTCGAACGAGTCCAGCTGCTGCCGGACCAGGCCCTTCTCGTCGAAGTAGGAGTTGATGACGATCCAGCAGGCCTCCTGCCAGAGCTCCGAGGAGATCTCCTCCTGCTCCTCATCCTCGTACATATCTGAAAGGTCATTAATTAAAAACGCTACTGCACACTGCAAATGCCACTATACATGAAAGCAGGCAGAAATAACAGGTTGCTGTGATTGCTTTAAAAACAACCTTTCAACCATAACACCCGCAATTCATTCTCAGTTACAATTCTGTGCCTGGTAAGGCACATATGAAGAGCTGGCTAAGCAGGACTGAATCTTTGCTCCAGAATGCCAGTCAAGCCTGATGACTACTATACAGTGGCCATTATCTGCACCTAGCCATCAGGTTGCCTCATACTTCACACAGAGTTACCATGTTGAATCACAACCATTGTACATGATAGCCATCACTTTATTGCCAACCCAGACGATATATGTATAGTGGGCTAACAATGTTTTTGCTTGAGTGGAGGACTCTAGGTCCATGTCACATATTCATGCTGATTTTTAGATGCCAAAGCACAGACAAGTTAAACCTTCATTGTCCCAATCACTAAACTGAGGTATATTTTTTTGTTCAAGTTTAGGTTGTCTTTCAATAATATAGCATGCATCAACACATATTGGAGCTCTGAAAATCTGCATATATTGTCCATGACTTGAGAGGTGTGCATCAATGTTCCCTCAAGTAACAAAGGCATGACTTGATGCATGTGACTTCAGTGCTGACAGTTCCTAGATACTACATAAGGTGTGAGAGTAACATTGTGTGAATGGGGAAGGCACGGGATGTTTTCTTGTTTTGTGCCACATACTATGCTTTTAGTTTTTGAATGAAAGTGCCAGCCATTATCTGTTTACCACATTTACTATGCCCTCTACAGTATCAAAGGCCAGTCTGCAAAGTGTGGGAAGTTTTAATACTTTGTTGTGGCAACAACAGACCAGAAGCAGCTCATGACTGCCTCTCGAGATTCATGGGCAGCAGCTAAGCATTTGATGCCTTGTACCAATTTATTTTATATGAAGCATATGCTGCCATAGTTTGGGTCTGTGTGTCCATTACAAGCAATTAGCAGATGTTCTGACAGTGGAAATGTACTTTTCCTACATTATGCATAAACAGACTTCCTGCTTCTACCATAGCTGACTCAAATGAACCAAAATCTGGAACTGGTGCTGCATATGCTAGAACATAAAACTATGCTGTGTTACACTACAAATGAAATAGGGGTAATCTGCAACATATAGGAAGCAAGGAAGAAATCTGAGCAAAAAAATAAGGGCTGCATTGCACATTTTTCATCACCTTAACCATCAAAGTCACACAAGAGAAAAATGATTTGACAAAACATGCAAATAAATGAAGGCAGTAAGGTTTGATTTTCTGATAAAAAGACCTGTGTTTTTTTATGACAGACCAACTTGCACAGCATTGTCTCTAAAAGGAGACTTGTGTGTACAGCAAATAAACATGCCCAATAGATTGTGACTAGAAGCACACAGATGTGTGCCCAACCCTGTGCACTATGTCTTCAGAAAGTATATAAGAAAAAGGAATATCTTGTTCATGCTGGCTATAATTTGCAACTGATCACATGCTTATGGCCTCTAAGCCCCATGTCAAACAGTGTTAAACTGATAGATATCTGCTGTAAGATTGCACAGAAAGATGCAATTTAGATGGCAGAATCTGGGCACCTTGTGCTGTTTCCCATAAACTGCAATACCTGTCTAGTGCTATACTCATAATTTATGAATAACTTGTGTCTAAGGACATTGCAGCTTCATGGTTATGCACAATGCTACATCATCATTAATTCCATCTTGGGGAAATGGTTGGAACAATCCACAACACCTTGCAAAATATCAATGCTGACAAATTATGCAAAATATAAATAGTTGGTCATGCCAAAAGGTAGGTTTTTAATGAAATCCATGTAAATAAATAGCATATGCTACTGATCATGTCTTGCTTGTCAGCATTAAGGTAAGTCTGCAACTGCAAACTGGATGCACTTGCAACTATAAAATGTCTAAAGCACAGGCCTCTCCTGACAACCTTCTTCAAGAACTGCTTCAGTACTAACATCTGCAAGAAAATTAATCCTGTATAAGATGCTTGCATGTCAATGCACTGCTCCTGGAGTGTGTATGCACCATACTCATAAAAAGCTTAACTGCACTGAATTTTGCTTCTTACATGACAAAATTGTGTGGGGGCACAGAAGTGTCTTACCAACATTATAATTTCTTGGAAACATTGGCTTTATGCAACCTGAAATCAGCGGCAGGAATGCACCAAACTGGGTCTCTGGTATCTACGCCATGCCTGCACTGCAATTACTCCCGGGATGTCGATGCTACGCCGGACATCTTCGGCGTAATGTTCTTTTTTTGTAGTCCGCATGCTAAGTAGCTATAACAGAAATAACTTACCTTCCTCTTCATACATGATTGCGGCTGCTTCTTGCTTGGTTTGTATGCCAGGCACAAATATCGATCCGAAGAACAAAACAAGATCAAGGCAATTGGATCAAATAGATAAGCAACAGTATCGCCTTCCCACTTCCCCCGGCCCTCCAAAACACGCCAACCCCGGCGAACGCCGCAGCGCACTGACGGCGACAGCTGGCACCGCGGCAAGCCTAGGTGAAATAAATCTGCAGGGACTAAACGACGGATAAATCCTACCAACAGCTCAACGCTAATACCTTCTGGTACTGATCGCTGCAAAATATTTCGTTTCACTGCGGCATTATTGATAACCAGCGTTGACAGATCATGGTGGCTTTAACCGACTTAAAAATCAAGAAAAGCTTCAAAAACTAAAAAATTACGCAACAGCTCACACTAAACCACCGCCCACAAGCTCGTTCCCAGTTGATGCGCCGTGGCCGTTAAAATGTGGCAGAATATCTCTGGAATATCTGTAGAACAGACGTGAGAAACGACATGAAAAAAAATATGCAGAACAGGTCTGCATTTGTAGAATATGGTGACCTTGGATCGGGTCGACAGTTACTCAAAAACGCCAAAACCTGTTCAAGACCCAGCGTTTTGGCTTGGTCGCTACCAGGCCTTAATCAATCGATTCAGCAATGTCGAGAAGCTCATGATGAGGAAGGAAAGATGTGGTCTTGGGTCAGGCTGAAGGTGATTAAAGCGCCCGAAGCTGCCGTAATTTGTTGGCAGACAAAGCCATGCTGTGCGCCTAAGTGACTGATCGCCATAAAATTGCCTCATTCAGTGCTGCATGGTCGACAATCTACCGGCCCCAGAACATGGTCACCGTGTGCAGGCTAAGGGTCATCAAAAACACCTGAAACCGAAAAAAAAAATCAGGTTGCATTTGCCAATTGGTGCAAACCTACGGAGCTGCCTGCTACAAAATATTGAACAACGGGTGCACCATGGTAAAACCTATCTTCGCCAGGAACATTGCTGACCTTGGGCCGGTGAAAGGTCATCAAAAAAACACCTAAACACGTCTGAATTGGATACATACAACATCATGCTCCCAGTCTTTGGGACAGATCGCTACGCAATCTGCGCCATTTAAAGCGACATGGTGAATATCCCCCTGTTCAGAATATGTTGACCTTGATGCGGGCAAAAGGTTGCCAAAAAATGTCAAGTTCATAAAATACTTGAAGACAGCTCTCTGCACTAGGTCTATGGAATTTCAGATGGGACCTATCGCCCTCAAAATAATTGTCCATCTCCATGCAGCACGGTAGATGACCTATCTTTTCAGACCATGGTGACCATTGGCCAGGTCAAAGGCCACACAAAAGGAATTGCCGAAACTGGCTGCAGCCAAACGCCATGACCCAGCCTCCTGGATCGATCGCTACGATGCATTCGCCAGTCCATGCAGCAGGATGCTATAAACTATAAACTACGATATAGGTTGATTTGCCACGATAAGCTTTCCTTTCCAGCGCAAAGTGACCTGGGTTCAGTTAAAGGTTTACAATAACCACCCCAAAAGCAGCAACACATATTGCAGATAACCTGATGATCCGAGTCTATGGGCCGATCGCCACAAACCCATTGCTACTATGTGGCTTACCACTTTTACCTACATTCAGCCGATATGGCGTGGTCAACAGCATATTCTGCCCAGACATGGTGACCTGTAGCCAGAGGTTCAAAGGCAGTGGCGTAGCCAGGATTTCGCTCAAGAGGGACCGGCCAAGGGTCATCCTAACGGTGGACAAACGCGCACTGGCACATAAATGCGAGATAGAGCTGATTTGAACGTTTTGATATAACGTGCCGTATCATGCTAAATGAGTAATTAGCGGGGTAATCACATTGTATTTGAAAACGCCTACGTAGCGGTGGCTGCGCCATCAATTTTTGATTGGGGGACGGGTGAGAAAACCATTGTAACAACTGAATAAAAGGGATGGGAAAATCATGCGTCTAATGATTGGAGTTTTGCAAATGTTCAGTGCCATATGAATTCCTCATGCGCCTTGCGCTCACCACCGTTAGGCATGGGGGACGCGGAACCGGGCATGGTGGCAAGGACGTCTAACGTCGGCCCTGTGGGCGTTGTCCGAAACCATCCAATGACTGTCACACCACCCCCCCCCTCGCTCTCCAGTGTGGAAGGACATCCATTCTCACATGCCGGCGGAAAAAGCGTTATCACAGTTTCGTAGCTTCTTCTTAGTAGTCAGCAAAGTGCATACTATTTTCTAAAACAAGTGACTAGAAATCTTACCAAGTGTGTATAAGTGTGTACGTTTAGATACAAAGCTTGGCAGGTTGATAGCAGGTGGTGTACTTTTTCCACAGCTGTGCCACGGCTTGGACGCCCGATTCATTTTTTCTTTTTGCTGACAAAAATGATCGCATAGCATAAATCTCACCATTAATTGCGGTTCCGATAGAAACATTCCAACAACACACTGCTTGAGTATAACAGGGTTCACATACTCCTTCCAGGTCTGCACCACCACCGTTTATAGTACGGCCCTAAGCGCGGCGAAAGGTTCGCGGGTGTGGTGCGTTTTGATTCGCAAAAGTCACTGTGGCAAGAGCTGGATCCATTCAATCCAGGCGAATGCGATGTCCACGACACATTACTGTTGCGTTGGTTCTCCTCTGCGTCGCCATTAAACGAATTAAGTTTTGAGCCCATGCCGCGAGCTAAAATTGCATGCAGCTGTGGCTGATCTGGCGTGCAGGGTCATGAGAAGGCGATCAAGTTTGACGACACAAGGAATGGGTTCTTGCGGGTCAGGCCACACACTGCGAAGAATGGACGGGAAGGGGCTATATTTACTCCCTTGACAAATGACAGGAGGGCAAATGACTTCCTGCCCCTCTAGAGGCGCTGCCCCAGACGTCTCCGTACAGAGCGTTAAGGTTACACAGCTTCTACGCGACCAGGAATGAGAACTAACGAGCTCGAAAAGAGATAATAAATGGATCAAATGGGGTCTCTTCAGGTTACATGAGGGACATGCTGCAACTTAGTAGTCTTAAAACCAAATGCATCTCGCACTGTCACACATATCGCACAAGTTTGATGCTTTCATGTTGTAGCGCAACTTAAAAACCGGTGTCCGATTGATAGATGACATTTATGGCCTTTAAAAGATTTGCTGGTGCTCCGTAGAAATTAAATGAAACGAAGCACGCGAAATTTTCTGCACCACTTCCTCAAGCACGCTGCGGCTTTTGCACCTGCGCGACGAGCCTATATTCGTCTTTTTCCGGTTCTTTGACCACTATAGAAGCGACACGGCAAGCACGTCAGAAGCACAAACTCGTTCAAAATACTACTCATTAATTACTTTGGAGCAGGATAAGAAACGTGCTGTTTTCTCCTATTCTACCTGGTCACGCCCAAAAACGGAAACAAATAGGCTGGTGCCTTAGCCAAGCAAGGCTCAAAGCTCCGCAGGGCTCCGCTGGGCTCCTGAAGCCTGGAAAAAATACCAGCACCGGACCCCAGGGATCTATTTCACAGTGGTTCAAAGGCTCGATGGTAACAACTTAGGGACGAAATTGACGATGATATCAATCAGAGACAAAACAAGCCTGACTTTTTGGCGGACGGAAGTTTATGCGGTGATGAGTATTCTGGTGTTTGAAAAGTTTACATTGGCCGGTATTTTTTCGGCGACGAGGAGCTCCCCGACATTCGAGCCTTCGTTTGATCTTGAAGGGCGACCTTGAGAGGTCAGGACATTTTGGACAGGACAGGACTTAGTTTTGTCACTAGCCGATTGTGCATAAGCATGACCGTTCTCAGGCAAGCAAGGGTAGATATTTGCCCCATTTTTACCTCATTTTGATCTACTCTATTAAACACTCGTATGACCCCTTACTTTTTCCGGGCAAGGGCCCGTGGGTAGAACACTAGAGGCACATTTTGGTTCCTGGTCAAGGTTTGAAGGGCTACTACGTTCCAGTGCGAGATACTTATGTTACACGGGGGATTTTTCGGTTATATCGTCGTCGTTTCCTTCAACTTTATTTTGCCCTCCGCGTAACTGGAAGTATTGGCTCCTCATTTTTTCCAGCAATATTGCCACGCTCACTCGACGGATTTCTCACCGACACCAAACGGCAATCACGAGATTCCCAAATCCCAGTTTGAATAAATGCGACAAGCGCCATGGCTGACCCCAGGCTTTGTGTGTATGGTTTTTTGGTAAGTGTATATGATAAGCTCCTGTATGGTTTTGAAGTTACGTACTCGAACATGACGTTGTATAATATATAATGTTATGCATTTTTTAAGATGGTGGCTGTACTCACTTATAATCAACCTCGCGAAAAAAGCTCGTTGAAGTAATAGGTCTGCCAGCAAAAGTCATATTTGCTTACATTGAATATACATGTGATTGTTATTGGCGGCTGTTGACTAGTTGGCATACTGCACTGACCCGTAGGTAATTACCATCGAGGCAATCCCGTGTCATAAGCCGACTGAAACTGGCGACTGCAAATGGTGCCGGTCATATTAAAGGGAGGCCTTTAGTGCGGTCGCTACACACAGTCTGCAAGTTATGTGCAGCGATCAGACCCCATCAACTATGAGCGGAACCGTACAGTCATACGCCACGTATACCTCGGAATTTAGTCCCAGTAATACGTAGCCGCCTGGTGCAAGACTCACCGGGGCATCAACAGGTAGCCCCACCCTCTACCGTTACTGAATGATGCTAGAATCCCTCGTCGGCACGCCGGAATCCCAACTCGGCTCATAATACTTTGTCGCCAGAGTCCCACATTGGCACGCCGGAATCTCTCATCGGCTCATATGTGCGAACCTCGCCTTTTGGATTCGCTGTAATAATTCTGACAACAGTACCCCCAGTGACCGAATTCACTGCCGCTGCTAAGGGTCAGTGAATCATGGTCATCTTAGCAAATCCCCTTCTGTGGCCATATGTCAATCCATCAACGGAAAAAATCAACCAACTTTTCCGACAGCCCAACGCCTTTTCCCGACTTCCATCCCCTGGGAGTTGTAAGAAGGCCGCTGAAAAGCAAGTTCCACGTTCTGCGAGCCGCGAATCCGCCAACGGTACCCTACACGTGCCACCACTACTCTGACTAGCGGCTAGCCCTCATCCGTGAGTCGCAGAGAGATCGACCAACAGCCAACTCCCCAACTATTGTAGGGAGTGAGACTTTTCAACCCACCGACCCACTGGCTAGACAACTAGACAACAACAAGACAAGGACTTTCTCCATCGCTCTGCGCAAGGAGTCATAACGCAAGGCCTTTGTGACGCATTTAACCCGTGGTGGCAAAAGCCTTTAACTACACTCGTGGAAAACTCACAGTCGTCCCAAGCTGCACGCGGTATACGAGCTATGCAAGATAGAGATACTAACGTCGAGAGCATGAACCTGACTATGCCACGTCCTCTCTCATGGTACAAAATCAGACCGCACATCTTTTACTGGCCTGCTATTTTCCAAGAGAATGTTCATTGAGACGCAAAAGCAGTACCACGCGGGAGTCGGCACACCATTTAACAATACGTTAGCTACATAGTTGTGTATTAGAAACACTAGTGACTATGATGCAAAACAAGCGCGAAAAAACTCCACAATATACAACAAATTAAAAATAATGTACAGGTACGTAAACTCAACATTCCTACAGAACGTGCCTTCTTAATCGTCTATGATAAAAAGGCGGGGGTCTTGGAATCACCGAAGGGTTAGCCATTTCCGCGCCGGGCTGACATTTTGCTGAGGTTAAGGCGCCGAGCGTCCGGCCGTCGGCACGCCAGGCCGATATCGTCTCTCATCACCGTGTCCGTGTCAATGTCCCCCGACCGCCGACTCTCAGTGTCGATGTTCTGTCTGAGCGTGTCCATGTCCTGGTCGAACGTGTAGACGTACTGTGTAACGTGTCCATACTCCGAGGGGGTCGGTGTTTTTAACTGGCCGTCCCTTACTGATCATCCTGTCGCGCATGTTCGGAACGAGCGCCCGGACCAAACCTCACAAACAAAAGCCTTGGTCACGCATTGGAAAAAAAAACATGTGGCCCGCGGCGGATAAACACGCCGCGCGCCAAATCAACGCGCCACACCTACCGGCTGTCATTTTAGCGACACGGAGGCGGGTCCCCTAGCCGATCCGGAGGATTTCAAAGGGATATACGGAAAATTGGTCCCCTTCCTGACGCGGGAGGGCTTCTGAACCGCGCAGCTGGCCCCGGATGAACACAGGAGATCTCATTGCGGCACCAAGATTCCCATCGCCGTAGGGGCCCAATAATTGGCAAAGATACTTCACTTCGGCTTAACAGGCCCCTGGCTGAAACGCAAAAATACTGAAATGCTGAAACGCAGTAACCAACAAAAGAGTACCCCTGACATGCGGGGTCCCGCCTCCGTCCCTGTTCGGCAAACGTTCCCTGGGCTCGTTGCCGCTTGTCGAAGTAAGGCACTGCGGACCCCTGACCGACGCAGGAGTCCCTCATTGTTGCGGGGACCCCGGCCAATGCAAATCCGGCCCAGCCTTATTCCTGCTCGGGAAATGAGACTGAAACGGAGCCGGCTGTTCAGTATTGGTGGTCTCTAGCCGAAAGAAAGGAATGCGCTGCCAGTGGTGCCCAAAGGGTGCAAGAGGCCCTCTGACCGACATTTCAGGTCACGGTCCTATGGCTGGGGGCCGTTCTTTCTGTAACCTGCAGCCAGCCCTCGAGCCCTTCGGGCCCTTTAGGGGTTGTGATATATTGGATGTTATAACACATTAGTAGTTGTGATACATTAGGTGTTTCGAACAATAGATATTATGATACATTAGTGGTTACGAACATTAGGTGCTGCGATAATCCCCCGACTTGGGGCCACTTGCCAACACGGGGCCCCCGGCTGAGGCCGATACAGAGCCCACAATTCGGTACTGGTGGTGCCTGACCAACAAAGAGGCTCTCGCCGACTAGCGGCCCAAGTGGCACAAGGGGCCCAAGTGGCACGAGGGGCCCAAGTGGCACGAGGGGCCCAAGTGGCACAAGGGGCCCAAGTGGCACCAGGGACCCAAGTGGCGCAAAGGGCCCTCTGACTGGCATTCGAGGGTCCGGCCCGCAGGGCCAAGCCCCTCAAATGTGAGCTCTGGTCAGCCCTTCGGGCCCTTAATCATCGGCGCCAACAGTCGTTTCGGGCCGCACGGGTGATGCCTGCGTCATTGGACCCAGTCCCCCGTCTGGGGCCCGGCTTGAGCCAAGAGCAAATACTGACTGGGATCGCCCCTTACCCCATAAATACGCCACTGCCTCTGCCCCTACGGATTTGGTGGCTCAAGTCTTCTCCTTGTTCAAGAAAGACTGGCTTAACTCCTGGCCTCGACCGTAATGAAGCGAGCTTGAAAATGAATGCTCGATCTGCCAAAACCCGCCAAAACCAATTCGCGACTTAAATAAATACATCGCCATAGTGCGTCGATGTGCGTTTTGGGTCTCGACTGTAAGGAATAAGATGTGTGGATATCATATTTCAACAACAAACGTAACTTGATCACTTACAAAGTATGCCGTACGATTTTATGGAGTGCCTTTTCAGGTTTGTAACATGTTGAAATAAGGTTGATATTGTTTGATATTTACCTTGATCCGACTTCTGATAGTATTCGTCACTAGACGAAAAATAAACAGCCGAAAATGGCGGACGAGGAGCAGGTACTGTTTAATCTCCCACACGATACGTGTTTTTACTAGTTTTTCACTCAAACATGGTAGGCAAGATAAACGTCGGCTATTGATTCAAGTATTTGCCTTTTCATGGGACGTTCATTGTGACCTAGTTATTGGTATATCCCGCCAAAAATGCATTTTTCTATTGCGTCGTATTTGAATATGTCGGCATCTAGCCATCGATTTGCGCTCTACAAATGACATTATGCATATTGATTGATGTCTGTCTCTGTTTTTTACAGCAAGTGCAGCAACTAGAGATACTATGTACACGGCTGTACGAATCTACAGATCCACTGCAGAGGGCAGAAGCAGAAAAAACACTGGTTCAGTTTCAAAATGCTCCTGATACTTTGAACAAATGTCAGCTACTCCTTCAGAGAGCTGACTCTCCATACTCACAGCTGCTTGCTGCCACAACCCTGACAAAGCTGGTGACCAGAAATGTGCAGTCCATCTCTCTTCAGCAAAGGATTGACATGAGTAAGTTGCATGGTGGTGGCAGTTGTGAATGATTTTTCTAGACTACAGATTGTGGTAGACCTAGGTAAGGTCATGTCTGGGCATGGTTGGGGCCAAGTATTAAAAGAGGGCAATATGGAACAAGATTTAGGCAGTTCCAAGTATCTTGTTGCCATTCTTGCCATGGTTTTGTATGCTGTACTTGTTTCTGACTGCAATGATACATGTTGCTATGTAGTTTTGAAAGAGCTGGACAAAATTTGTGTTGATGCTTACCTCACCATCATTTTGTTGTTCAGGTCTTGTTTTTTCACCAAAAATGGCTCAGTAATTAAGCTAGATAGGGTTTTATTATGCTGGGAGCTAATATCTACCTTGGTGGGAGTTGTTTTCAACTTGCAACACATGCAATTTAGCATGTTGATTCTGGGTGTGGACTGTGTCAAAACCATGTAAAGGAATCTAATGTACTGGCTTAATTTGCTGAGATATTTTGGGTTGTTCCATTTTTGTTTAGGACATTAATACATTTCCAAGTATTTGTTTTGTAAGGCTCATTCTTCAATTAGTCTACTTTTCAAAGATGCTCAGTTACCTCAGCTACCTCAGTTAATTTAAGGTCATCTGCCATGCTCCTATAATGCTGGGGTGGTGGCATTATTTACAGAAGAGCTTTCCTGGGGTTCTTTGGATATCCCTTACACACAATTCTTTGTGACTATTCCCTGCATCTGTGATACATTTCCTTTTGGGCTACACAGTTCAATGTGGCAGTGTGATCATTCCCTTTGTCCAGCTTGGACCTGACCCTGCAAGAATGTTATTATAAGTGTGGTGTGTGTGTTGGTTTTGTAATGGAAGTAACCAATTCATAGTTGATAATGAGGTGTGCACAGTTATCTTACATCCTTAAATGGTCATATGTGTCTGATTGAGATGCAGTAATTACTTCAGATGTGGCTGGAGATGGTCTTTCAATAAGCTGAAACCAGATTCTATCACAATTGAGTTTTTACTAATTTTGGCAAATTGATACCAGCATGCATTGGTGGAAACTTAGAAGTCCTGATTTATTATTAGTTGTTGCTGCAGTCTTGTGCACAATGTAATATAGATTAATATAGGGCAGTGATGTTGCATTGGGGTTCAGCTTTCAGATCGTCTGATACTCATAACTATACCACCCATGGTATTTACTGGTTTTAACAGCTTTGTTACAAAAAGATCCTGTGCCACAATTTCTGCTACTCACCTTTAGCTGCCTTTTCCCAGAGGTGCATTTGTGTTGCATTGATGAGGATGCTTCACTGCCTTTTGACTTCAGGAATATATATATATATATATATATATATATATATATATATATATATTATATATTGTGTGTGTGTGTGTGTGTGTGGTGTGTGTGGTGTGTGTGTGTGTGTGGGTGTGTGTGTGTGTTGTGTGTGTGTGTGTGTGTGTGTGTGTGTGTGTGTGGTGTGTGTGTGTGTGTGTGTGTGTGTGTGTGTGTGTGTGTGCGTGCGTGCGTGCGTGCGTGCGGCGTGCGTGCGTGCGTGCGTGCGTGCGTGCGTGCGTGCGTGCGTGCGTGAGTGCGTGCGTGTATACAAAGTTTCTGCTAGTATTGCCAATGGTAGGTGGGGCCAAGACATTTTAGTCCATTGAAATGATCTGACAGATACCATCAGCCAGTTGCTGCCAGCTATGACTGATGTCACCATATTTATTGAGTAATATGTGTAGTGAAGAAATAGCATTACCAGGACATGCCATGTGCTGCCACCAGTGCCAGCTAGTGCTAATGAGATATTCTTCATCATTGATGCCAGCAGGAGTTGAAAGTTTGCAAGGCATTCTTGGGTTAAAAATATGACAAACTGCACCCTAAGCTTCTGGTGTATTTGCTACATCCCATGTTTCCAGGAGTTGTCTTGTTTCACTGCTGTAGTTTTGGAAAGCTTTGTTGTGAACACCTGGCCCATAGGAGGTGATTACACTGATTGTGGTAGTGCTTTAGTCTACAGTGTTGTAACTGAACAAAACCCTGAGGTGACAGCACTTAAGTTGTTGACAATCTTATGAGGTGAGACAGCCTTATTATCATAGTTTTCTGCTTGTAGAACACAACTTAGGTTCCTCATTGTGGGGCAGATTGCAATCATGGCTTTGGAGCAGATTGTATTGTTTATATTTTAGATAAGAATGTCCAAAGCATCTGCAGTCATAGCATAATGTGCTTGATGATGCCAAGCTCCACTCAAATTAGAGGAGAATCATAGGAGTAGCTCAGGCTGTTCAAACAGTTCCATGAGTTCACAACCAGCTGCAAAATATAAGTTGTAAAGCATGTAAAAACATCTAAACTCAAAACTGTGCTTACCATTCCTATGTAGTATGATATTGTTCTGTTCATTGAATATGTTTAATCTTGACATTGTGCTGCTGTCTGTCCATTATGTGGTTAGTCTTTAAAATACTTATGATGCATGATATGACAGCAATATCTGGTTTGACACAATACCATCCTCAAGGCATCTGCCCATGCACTGCAGATGGTACAGTCAGCATGTTCTCATGCACATTACCATTACAGGGAACTACATTTTAAACTATCTGGCGACCCGGCCCAAGATGGAGAACTTCGTGGTGCAGGCTCTCGTCACACTGTTCGGGCGTCTGACCAAGCTCGGCTGGTTCGATGCCGCCAAGGACGACTTCGTGTTCAGAAACGTCATCGAAGATGTCTCCGTGTTTCTTCAGGTGGGTGGGTGCGCTCGCGGTCCTTGTTCTGAACTGCCGGGACGAGGCGGTCTGGTGCGCGCTGTCCAGAGCGCTGGACGCTCTCCGTGCACAGGAGCTCCTCCCACTCACGTTGTCCTCGTGCCAGCTTTTACGAGTGCATCTGACAGCGTGCCGTGTCCGGGTGGTCGGGCTGCGTGTGCCCTGCGTCGGCGCCCGGCGGGCGGCGCGTCACCGATGGTCAGCTGACGACGGCCCCCGCGGCAGGGATCGGTGGAACACTGCATGATCGGCGTCCAGCTGCTCTCCCAGCTGACGGTCGAGATGAACACGCTGACCGACCCGGACGCCATCCGCTCCCTGAACCGGCACCGCAAGACGGCCGCCTCGTTCCGCGACACGTGCCTCTACGAGGTGTTCCAGCTCAGCTGCACCCTGCTCCGTACCGCGCTCGAGAACTGCAAGAACCTCGACTTCAGCGACTCGGCGCAGGTGAGCGTGACCCCGCCGGCCAGCGCTCGAGCCGGGCCACAGGGGGCCAGGGGTGCCGGCTGTTGGGCGGAGGGCGGAGCTACGTGATCGGCCGGTCGCCGGCTGCCGCTCGCATGCCGGACGTGACGGAGGAGGCGCGCGCCTGTCTGGCAGCGTGCGTGACGCCGGCCTTCGTCTGCGTGTTTCAGCACGGCCTGATGACGCAGCTACTGCGGCTGTCGCAGAACTGCCTCATGTTCGACTTCATCGGCACGTCCACGGACGAGTCGTCGGACGACTTGTGCACGGTGCAGATCCCCACTGCGTGGCGGCCGGCCTTCCGCGACGCCGCTACACTCAGGCTGTTCTTCGATCTCTACGCCGCGCTGCCCTTCTCCCTGTCTTCGCTAGTGAGTGGCGTCCACCCCCAGCCGTGGCTAGCGGGGATGAGGGTGTATGGTGGCCTCCCTGGCATTGTTCGTGGGCGGGATGTGAGGGCGTCCCTATCATTGGAAGTCGCGGAGAGCAGCTGAGTTTTTGGCCTCACACCCAGCGATCTACCGATTGATTTCGCCCAGCTGCGCGCGTCATAATGTTGTATATGGCGTGTTAATGTCTCGGCATTCTGGTAACGTGCATTTTGCTCGTCCGTCCGGCGGTATTTATTTCATTCGGTGGTACAAATGACATTTCAGCCTAAAAACAATGACCTTAAGCTTTGCCTGATATTCGGCATCAGTGCTGAAAATGTAAAAGTGTGATAAACTGTTCCCAAAGCCGTGATAAGGGAACACGGTCAAAGCAGCGGACGGTCTAGCTCAGCGGGTTGACAGTTGCCTGCAGCTGTTTAGGGAAAGTTGTGGGTTCGAGACCGGCTGCCGACCTGAGTTTTGTGGTAGCTGGCCGACGCGTCCTAGGCTGTAGCACTGAATGACTTGCAATATGCAGCGTGTCGCTGCACCCCCGAAATTGACATGGAATGTAGCTGTTCCGGAGGAAGTACTGCTTGGTGATAGCTGTAGTGTCACCATTGTTGCTTTGTGCATATTAGTCCCAACATCCGTTCTATGGCGCTTCGGCAATGACGTGTGTTGTTTCTTTGTTTCAGGCGTTGTCGTGTTTAGTGCAAATCGCTTCCGTGCGACGGTCGTTATTCAATAATCAAGAGCGTGCAAAATTTCTCAACCATCTAGTACAAGGCGTCAAAAACGTCCTGCTGAACCCGCAGGTAGGATACCAGGTTAAGTTCCATGTCTGCCAGCAGTCGACCGTGCGCACGCAAAACATGCTTTAATTCTCTGTGATGCTTGGTTGCTTTGTTACAATACTACGCCCGATTGTATGGGAGCCACATGCTGTCACAGGGAACAATTTAAGCTTAAACTTAACTAAAACGAACGAAAATACCTTCGCTTTGTGCGGATAAAAACACCAGTACTATCATGAAGATGCTGCCAAATCCGATATTATCCAGGGCTTTTGCGCCTGGATGTCGGCGATACCTGTTACGCTGTCAACAGCTGTTTGCTTTGTTCTGCAGTGGAGCATGTCACCAGCCGTCTCGTGCAGATGCACTGTCTAATGTGGAGGTGACCCCGGAGCACGTGGCGGTGGCCTGTGCGGTGCGCTGAAGGCCAGCACCGTCGGGTCACAGCGCCGTACATCTCGTATGAACGCGACGGCTGGGGTAGTGACATGCGCTTCCCGCTGCAGGGCCTGACGGACGCCAACAACTACCACGAGTTCTGCCGGCTATTGGCGCGGCTTAAGTCCAACTACCAGCTGGGCGAGCTGGTCATGGTGGACAACTACCCGGAGGTGATCCGCGTGGTGGCCAAGTTCACTGTGGAGAGTCTGCAGGTGGGTGGACGCGGTGTCGGCGCAGACGCCGCTGGGGCCGTGGTGGTGCCGCAGCCTGATGTCAGTCGGCCGGCGGCTGTGCTGCGGTGAGATCAGTGATATCGACGCAGCACGTGGTGCAGTGCGTGCCCCCCCCCCCCCCCCCCCTCTTCTCAGGGATAGACCCACTCCATGCTCTATGGACACTCGTTGGCGGGTCTGGACGCTGTGTGGCGTCTTATCCGTGGTCCTACTGCGTGACCTGCGCGCGTGCACGACTGACGCCCAGCGCACGGGCCCCGCAGATGTGGCAGTTCGCGCCCAACAGCGTGCACTACCTGCTGAGCCTGTGGCAGCGCATGGTGGCGTCGGTGCCGTACGTGAAGGCGTCGGAGCCGCACCTGCTGGACACCTACACGCCCGAGGTGACCAAGGCGTACATCACCTCCCGGCTGGAGGCGGCCGCCGTCGTGGTCAGGTGAGGCGGCCGTGTACCGGCCCGCGGCGCCCAGCGCCCGCCGGCCGCTAGGTCCGAGGAGCGCGCTGGACAGCGTGGCTGTCACAGTTCACCTCCCGCTGGATGGTCTGTCGGTACGGTTGACGTGGGTTTTGGTGCCGGTAAGCACGGCCGCCGGGAGCTCCGCGATGAAGTCGATTAATGGCATCAGATAGTTGGACCGAAATTTCTTGACGCCTGGACGTCCCGCAGACACCCTGTTACGTATGTGTTCTTGTCTGTGCGCCTGCCTCGCCCAAAGTCTACAGAAGGCCGGTGTCGCAGTCCTGCGCCGTGATGCCGGTGGCCGTGGTGGAGCACGTGTGAGATATGACGTCGCCGCGCCGCCGGCCGCTGGCAGGGACGGCCTGGAGGACCCGCTGGACGACCTGGGCATGGTGCAGCAGCAGCTGGACCAGATCAGCACCATCGCCCGCTGCGAGTACAAGAAGACCTGCCGCCTGCTGGTCAGCCTGTTCGACGAGACGGCGCAGGCCTACCAGCAGGCCCTCAACGTTTCCAACCGGCTGGAGATCGCCATCAAGGAGGGTCAGTACACAACGGCACACCCGGCTCGGGTCAGGACGCAGCGGCACGCCGGCTCGGGTCAGTCAGTACACAGCGGCACACCTGGCTCGGATCAGTCAGTAAGCAGCGGCGTAGCCGGCCCGGGTTAGTACACAGCGGCCTACCCGTCCTGGGTCAGTCAGTGAGCAGCAGCATAGCCGGCCCGGATCAGTCAGTAAGCAGCGGTACACCTGGCCCGGGTCAGTACACAGCCGCCTACCCGGCCCGGATCAGGCAGTAAGCAGCGGCATAGCCGGCCCGGATCAGTCAGTAAGCAGTGGCACACTCGGCCCGGATCAGCAAGCAGCGGCATAGCCGGCCCGGGTCAGTACACAGCGGCCTACCCGGCCCGTATCAGTCAGTAAGCAGCGGCATAGCCGGCCCGGATCAGTCAGTAAGCAGCGGCATAGCCGGCCCGGATCAGTCAGTAGCAGCGGCATAGCCGGCCCGGATCAGTCAGTAAGCAGCGGAATAGCCGACCCGGGTCAGTACACAGCGAGTAAGCCGCCCGGCCCGGGTCTAAGCAGCGGCACACCCGGCCCGGGTCA